ACCATCCAGGAGCCCCCCCACCCCCCCCCCCCCCACCCACCTGACAGGCTCGCATCTGTCGTGACCACTTTCCTCACGAGAACCAACCCCAAAGGCACCCCCTGTGCCAAGAGGGAGGGGTGATGCCAACAGCGGAGCGCCGCGACGCACGCTGCAGAGATCGTCACCCTGCACGCTCTGTGGCGCACTGGAGAGAGACCCAGAGAAGCCACCCAGCGTTGAAAATTTCTCATGTGTAGACGGCCGAGTGGTACCACTGAAATAGCCGACGCCATGAGACCCAAAAGCCTGAGGCATAACGCGAACCACACCGAACTGTGTAGGCGGAAGCGCGCCAGGCAGAGCGAGAGCGCGTTCACGCGCGGTGTCGAGAGATGGGCCGTGAACGCACCTGAGTCCAGATTCAGACCTAGAAAGGTTATTTTCTGGGAGGGGAGTAAAGCGCTTTTCTGCCAGTTTATTCTGAAACCCAGACCACACAAGTGATGGATCACAACCTTCGTGTTTGACGCTGCCTCCTCTCTGGATCGTGCCAGCAGGAGCCAGTCGTCTAAATACGTGGCCAGCCGAATGCTCCTCCCTCTCAGAGGGGCGATCGCCGCCTCCGTACACCTGGCAAACACCCTCGGGCTCAGCGAGAGGCCGAATGGGAGCACGGTGTATTCGTAACACACTCGCTGAAAGGCAAACCTCAGAAATTTCCTGTGTGGAGGGTACACGGGAATATGAAAGTATGCGTCCCTCAGGTCGATTGAGGTGAACCAGTCGTTCTGGTGAATCAGACGCAAAAGGGATGAGAGCGTGAGCATTTTGAACCTGTACTTTCTGAGGCATCGGTTCAGGGCCCTCAGATCCAGGATCGGGCGAATCCCGGTCCCTCCCCGTTTCGGGACCAGGAAGTACCTGGAGTAGAAACCGCTCTGAGACCAATCGGGAGGCACAATGCATATCGCTCCCTTCTCCAGCAGGGAGGAGATTTCTCCCTGAAGGATGTGAGCTGACGTCCCCTGGGCGTGGGAGAACACTACGCCGGAGAATCGAGGAGGAACTGAGGCGAATTGGAGCCTGTAACCCCTCGAAATAGTTCTCAGCACCCAACGTGAAGCAGAAACCGCTGTCCATTCCTCCATGTGAGTGGAGAGCGGTGACACAGCCGTGACACACGGAGCAGCAGCTCCCTCCAGAGGTTGTGGGGCAGCGGTGCTCGTGGCAACCACTGCGCATGCGCGGGGGCTTTGTGCTTTGACGGCCCAGGCGTACGGGGACGACCCGTGGCTGGCGGGTAAGTCCGCCAGGGGCCGCCCCCGCCTGGTTCCGCTCATGGGTAACATTTTTATTGATTTTTGCGGCGCCCTTGACATTTCGTCTGGATGCGTCAGCGAACGTTTTAATGCTCCTTGAGCGTGACATGTTTGTGAAAAACAATGTGAGTGCTTGTGACGTGTGTTTTGAGCCGGCACAGCCGGCTGCACGTCCTGGCCCCACCCTGGACCGCTCGGGGACTCTGCCGGAGGGGTTCCGTGAGGGGGGGAGAAGGCACCATGGCAACATCGAACAGGAGGAGCTGGCGAACGGGGAACTGCCAGCTGCAGCGTCGGGAGGGAAAGAACTCCGTCAGGCTGCCCTCTTCTTCTTCCTCACCTGCTGACCGCCGGGTCGGGTGGGTTGTCCCGACGGCGGAGCGGCTTGGTTGCCGGATCTCTGAGGCCAAACTGGTCGAAGCGCTGCGCCCGAAGGAGCTGGTTGGACAGCTTGAGGCTTCGGGCGCTTTGGGATCCGGAACTGAGGCTGTGCTCTGGCAGCTGCCTGAGGAAGGTTCGGCCGAGCCGGCAGCGCCGGTGAGGGCTTACGGGGAAGGCAGAGATGAAGGGCTTCATCCTCTTTCTTTTTGGCCTCACACCGTTGCTGCATTGATGTCAGGGCAGAGCCAAAAATGCCTTCAGGCACGATTGGCATGTCCAAAATGTCCTCCTTCTCTCTATCAGAGAGGTTGGTGAGGTTCAGCCATCGTGCACGTTCTTGAAGCACCATCATGCCCATAGCTTTAGCCGTAGCCTGGACCGCGCAGTGCTGCACACGCAGGCAGATGTCGGTCAGTACGGTGATTTCCTCCCACACCTCCGGGTCCGGCTTCGTATTCATGTCCTCACAGAGCTCGGCTTGGTACGCCGAGAGCATGGAGGAGACGTTCAAAGCTCGGACCGAGATGGCGGCAGCCTTGTACGCCCTCTCGTTCAGCGCCGACTGGAAGCGGTCCGCCTTCGCAGGGAGAGCGGGAGGCTTGGAGGAAGTTGCCGAGAGCCGTGGGTGCAGGTGTGCTGCCAGCGGTTCCATCGGCGGCATGCGAAGCATGCCAGCCTTCTCCATCCCCTCGAAGTCCAGCGAGGAGGCTCCTTGGACAGGAGACCTGGGGCTGAAAGGGTGTTTGTCCCAGGAGGACCTCACTTCTTGGAGAAGCTCCGGGAAGGCGAGAAGGAGAGGCTTTGCCGCCCTTGTGGCCTGAGGCAGCTTCTTTCCCTCGTAGCGGGATCTGACAGCCTCAGTGACCACGGTGGGCCAAGGGATGTTGAGCCTGGTCGCAGCGCGTCGGCAGACTGACTGCATGTCCAGGTGGGCGGCCGGAGAAGCCGCTCCATCCCTGGGAGAGGACGGAAAGCTAGGCATGGAGGCCTGAGCGATGGGGAGAAAAACGTCGTCATCCTCGTCCTCCTCTGAAATGAGGAGTTCCGAGGTGTCCTCGTCGTCTCCGTAGTCCAACTCCAACACGTCCTCGACGGGGTAGCTCGCACCGGCCGGTTCGAGCTGTGAGCCCCAGCTGAGTTCGGCACACGGTTCCGGCTCCGGGAGGACATGTTCGCTGGCGTCCCCAGGCGGTGGCCCAGGGGCCGGCAGGCAAGGGTCCTTCCCCGACAGGCTAGCTTGGCGCGCTAGCCGCCGGCGAAGGCTCTTCAGGGTGAAGCAAGCGCAGCTCTCTCATGACCCGGGGACTTCCAATGCCAGCTGGGCGTGTTCCAGCCCGAGGCAGCTCGAGCAGACCTTGTGCGGGTCTTTGCTTGAGATTTTGTTCCCACAGGTACAGAGGCGAGCTCCTGCGCCGTCGACTCCTCTGGTGGGAGGAGTGGCTTCCATGCTGGCTAACTGGTGTGTTAGCAAGAGAACGAACAGATGCACTGGAGTGTGAAGCTGCTCGTTATGCCCCGCCCGAACCTATGGTGAAGGTCAGGACAGGACGGTAAGTTAACGTTCGGCGACGGAGAGAATATTAGCTGGCTCCGTCTGTGAACAGTTGAGTTAACTTACCTTAGAGATAAGCGACCACCGAAGCGAGAAGAGGTGATTGAATGGTGCGTGCGTTGGGACTCTTGCTACTTATAGTAGCAGGTGACGCGTACGTCACGGTCACTGGCCAATCAGGATTGGCGTATTGAGATAAGTGCTTCTGAGGAATCCGCGGAGTGGCGTATCCCATAGTGAGACATCGAAACGAATGTTAAGAAAGAGAACTATCATCCCACCAACACCAAAACCAGCAGTGATGTCACCCGAGGCGCAGGGACAGGAAAGAGCCATCACATTCAGCGTTTGTGGAAAAGGAAGCTGCTGGATGAACTTGAACAATTAGAAATGAGAAAAGCTGAGAAAGTGTGTTTAAAACTGATGAATATTCTGATGACATGTCCCAAAGGAACATGTTAAAAACAAGGATCTCCCGTGATTAACCTTGTGTCATGATGAGGAGGAATGTGATGGTAACTTAAGTGGCACAAGTGACTAAACAAGAGGAATTGGTTTTGGTGTCATTTCAGGATGAACCCATATGAATAATTAAACATAAACACGTTTGACATGGATGGGTTAGGGTAGGGTTTGTGGAGGACTTGCCATTGACTTTCATTGATTTTAGTGACTGTGTTATGCCTAAACCTTACTGTAACATTTCTGGTCTAACCCGAACTGTAACTAAAGGTTGATTCACACACTAGGGCTGCACAATACATCGCAAATGTATCGTCATCGCAATACCGGCAGGCGCAATATGCATATTGCAAAGAACAGAAAAAAACGCAATGACTCGTCAGCTCAAATGTTTTTCTACACATAATGCGTTTTGTCAATCAAATGGAAGCATGAAGTTTTTCACTAATCAAATAGAGCTCTTCACCCATTTAACCAATTTGGTGGGTTCTTATAGGTTAGATGCCCGCCATCAAACACCTAGCAAACACCTGCGTTGGCTTCATTCTGCTTTTCTGCCAATTTCTGCTTTTCCCAGGATCCACTGATTGCCTTTTCTTGGTTATTTTCTTTTCCCCTTTCCTCGCATCTTTTGATCACATTTTTTGCTTTTCCCATTTTTTATAATTTTTAATTTTTAATGTCTTAGTTAAAAAAATTTTTTTGTTCTTGATTTAAGTTTTTGTTTATTCGTTGCAAGTCATAACGTCATTGTAATATTAATCACTGTTATTGCGCATCGCAGGTTTTCCTAATATCGTGCAGCTCTAATTCCCACCTTACCGCTAACACCAAGTCCTCACAGTAAACACAAAGAACAATTTAAACTAATACATATGTTTTACCATTACTAAACTGGCCGGTGATGTGACAGGTCAGGTCTTTTCGCCCTTGCCGGAGCAGATCCACGTCTATGATGACACAGCACGACCTTTTCCCCTGTACGAGCTGTTTGCACCACGGCTCTGAGGTCATCAAGATAAATTTGTTGTTTCCAAACATTTCTGTTGTAGTCTGAGTTTCAGTAACACCCAGTACTGTGACATAAAGGTCAGCATGTTTAAAACTGATCACATGTCAGTTATCAGGTGATGGAGCTGTCCATCTGTTCACACGAAGCTCTGTAGTAAAGCTTTAAACTTCATTTCTGCATCTGATACAGTTTGTCAGGTTGGGCAAGTGTATGCAGATGCTATTATTTTTAATGCAAAAGTATTCACATCCACATTTAACGATAGATGTGTTATTTTTTTGTCTCCTTGCAGAATGGAGATGTGTGCATCTCCATCTTGCACCCTCCGGGTGACGACCCACAGAGCGGGGAGCTGCCATCTGAGAGGTGGAACCCCACCCAGAATGTCAGGTAATTCCTTCATGAGACTTCCTATTTGACTCATTCTATAGACCCCTTGAATGTTATTAAATTGTAAATGGCCTGTATTTGATATGTAAGTAAGTAAGTAAGTAAGGTTTATTTATATAGCGCCTTTCACAGATATAAATCACAAAGCGCTGTACAACATGAGTAAAATCAGGGCAAATACCTCAAACCAATAAAAACATCATAAAAAAAATAGCAGTGACAACAATAGTAACCAAAATCAGGAGTAAAAACAAAGCCAAGGTGTGAACAAGAACAATGCCATCTTTTAGAATATTTAGTGGGGGAAAGCCTGGATGAAAAGTTGAGTTTTAAGATGTTTTTTGAAGACCTCTACAGATTTCAAGAGACGGAGATTTGAAGGCAGACTGTTCCAAAGTCTGGGGGCAATAGACTGAAAGGCCCTGTCCCCTTTGGTTTTTAGTCTGGTTCGAGGAACAGCCAGGAGGTTTTCAGATGTGGATCGGAGGTTCCGTGAAGTGGTGTGTGGGGATAAAAGCTCAGCGGATATAGCACCTTCTAGAGTCCTAGAACCCCTCAAGGCGCTTTACAACACAATCAGTCATTCACCCATTCACACACACATTCACACACTGGTGGGGATGAGCTACGATGTAGCCACAGCTGCCCTGGGGCACACTGACAGAGGCGAGGCTGCCGAGCACTGGCGCCACCAGTCCCTCCGACCACCACCAGCAGGCAAGGTGGGTTAAGTGTCTTGCCCAAGGACACAGCGACAGGGACAGACTGAGCGGGGCATGAACCTGCAACCTTCCAATTACGGGGCGAGCACTTAACTCCTGTGCCACCGTCGCCCCACAGGTTATTGTTTACCTGTGTAAAAGCAAAGGCCTCGCCTATGATTGGCTAACGACGTAACTCTTCCGCTGCCTTCATTCACTCTTTCTTCTTGAGTAAAAAGTGAAACATTGATGTTTTATCTACACAAATCACACAAGCCTGAACATTTTCTACCCTGCTGTGGAGTTGCTAATGCTAATGCTTAGCTTCTACTAGCCGAGACGCGCTCTGCTCTCATGGAAAAATCAACGCAACTTTCCATAGTTGCAAGCCAAGGTGGGTGAGACCATGATTGCTAATTTTTTGTGACGTAGAATAGTCTGGCTTTTTCTGACGCACTTGTTTTCCTGTCTTATTTCCTTCCAGCGGCTAAAGTGTGAATTCAAGAAGCGATCTACAATGAGAACAACAATACTTACTGAAAATGGCTGCAAAATCTCCTTAAAGTTATTTAGAAGAAGGAAATCAAGGGTGCTGTAATTTAAAATTCTTTTTATTTTCCACAACACTTCTGTTCTGTGTGACCTCTAAAAAAAGGAGAATTCTCTTTAGGGCAGACTTGTGAATTTCTTCTGAATTTAGCAGATCAGCAACATCCAGAGGTAAAGTGCTGAGTGTGTAAACTCGAGCAGACTGGATGTAATTGAGCCGCATGGGAGAAAGAGATGGAGTCGTGTTTCCACAAGACGAAAACGTTTCAGAACTTTCTTATGACAACCAGTTGTGATGTTTAGTGCTCTCATTTTCTGTGTGCGTGTGTTCTTTGTTTTGTGATCAGGACCATCCTGCTCAGCGTGATCTCTCTGCTAAATGAGCCCAACACCTTCTCTCCGGCTAACGTGGATGCCTCCGTCATGTTTCGTAAGTGGAGAGAAAGCAAAGGCAAAGATAAGGAGTATGCAGAGATCATCAGGTACGTTGCACAGATGTAAGGTTGATGAAACTCTTTTCAAGCTGATTTAAAATTTATGTTGGATTCCCCAACAGGAAGCAGGTGATGTCAACGGCGGCGGAGGCCGAGCGCGACGGCGTCAGGGTACCGACCACGCTGGCGGAGTACTGCGTCCAGACCAGGGTTCCTTCTCAGGACAGCAGCTCAGACCTTCTCTACGATGACCTATACGATGACGACATGGAGGAAGAGGACGATGAGGACGACGAAAGCGACATGGAGTCCGTAGGTGAGGCGGGTGGCATCACCGCCGTGGAGGTCGGTGGAATGTCCACCAGGCGCTACGACAACCAGGACGACTCTGGCAATGAAGACTCGTGATGATGTTAATAAACTCCCACTCCTCCCTGCCAACTCCCTCCACCATCCTCCTGTTGCTTTCAGTTAGTCTGTATGTGTGTGTGTGTGTGTGTGTGTGTGTGTGTGTGTGTGTGTGTGTGTGTGTGTTTGTGCGCGTTTGCACAGTGGGGTCAAAAGTCTACTGCCGAAAACCTTTCATCATTTATTAAGCTCAAACTTGTTTAGGTTAAATAACGATTCTCACAGACTGCGGAGAACTTTCATTGCCCAACAAACTTTGTAGTTTCTGTTTCCACCAAACGCCGGAGTGCGGTATTTTCACCGCTTGCCTTAATCACTGCTCATACTCTGTCTAATGTTTTGCAGAGTTGTGGAACTATTCCAGTCCAGTTTGAGTGACTATAGGAAAAATTTGTGTTCCGTTTCATTTCTCTGGATCGTCCAACTGAAGGGAAGTCTCTTCCTCTTCCGTCATCGTAGTCTTCAAGAGATCAGTGTGTGTGTGTGTGTGTGTTACTAAATCAACGCCATATTGAATTTCAGTTTTATTATCATGCAACCTGCAAAGTCAGTTGTCTAGTTGAATCCATTAAAATTTCATCTCATTTAAAAGCTTTTAAATCTTTGATATGTCATCAAGTTTGAGTTAAAACAATTGGACCATGTGCCGTTACAGGAGGGCTTAAATGTAGCTGTATTTTCTGATGTTGGCACATTCCTGTGTGCTAAGTCTGCTTGGTGCTGTTTGGCGTGGAACTTGCAACCCTTATGTTTTTGTTTGAGAGTTTAGGAAACATTTATCAGGCACCCACTACCATGCATTAACCAAGTTTCCGTTAAGCTTCCACAGATGCTTGTAGCTTTGATAAATGATGAAAATGAGTTGTGGTCTGCTGAGCCCCGCTCCGTCTAATCGTTTTCCTGTAGAAAGATCCTTGAATCTGTCCTTGTTGTTTTCTTGTTGGTTCCGTTTTACGCTCTGTCCTCATTGACTTGTCTCTTGTATTGCGTCAGAGAGCTCGGTCCGTCTGTCTAATGAATGTTTGGCTCATTAACCAGTCGATGAGCTGGCCAGCTTTTTTTGTCACTGTCCACGTCTGTCTGTTTGATTTTTACACCTTCAGCCCGTTGGGGAGAACTTCACGTCTGAGTCTTGTCCACCCGTCTCCCTCTTACCTCAGGGCCTCAGTAGACTTTCACTGAGACAGAAAAAATAATCAAAAGAGGATCCTAAGAAACTACTCATCTAATCCACACGTGACTGAATGTTGCTGTAGGTCTGAGTTGTGGTGCTTTAATTGTTTTCCTCCCAGGTGGGAGCCAAGTTAAGGAGATCAGCACACATTTGTAGGGACGTTAGAAACAGTGTAGGAATTATGTTCTGGCTTTTTGGGCTTAAATGCTGAGCGAGAAAGTCGGCCTCTCACGTGGATATGACACGGATCACCTGAAACCTGAGTGTGTGTGTGTGTGTGTTCTGCATTCATGTCGACTATGATGTCAGGGTGTGTGAGTGTGTAATCCTTTCAGACTTCTGTCATGTGAATATGTTTGGCTGAAACAGAAGTTTGGACTTGAGGAATGACACGACTTGGTTTAAAGAGTCGACTGATAAAGAGACAAAAAGCTGAGTATTGGGTTTCTGGACCTGCTGAATGGAGCAACAGGACGGATCGGACTCGTGTTGCACCGTATAAACTACACAAGAATCTGTTCAACACAAACAGAAAACAAGCACTGGAGCAACCCTTTGATTCAGATGGATTGTTTATGCCACAGAAACCAAGTAACCACCACCCCTGTTCCCCTCACAGGCTATGGACAGATGGATGCATGTTATTGATTTATTGCTTTTTGAATAATCTTATGCGGAGACACACCAACGACTCTGTGCTTTGGAGGCACTGGATTTTATTGAGAACGGGCAGAAGAAATCTCTTGAACCAGACCTATGATGGATTTGATATCTTGGCACAAGAGGAGGAAGAAGCAGGATGCCACAGATTCTGAACTTTCATTGACATGGTCTGTGTTTCTGCTCATTGCTCCTCATGCAGGGACTAAATCACTATTAAGGAATGGAACGTACCAATCCTGGGACTCTGCGAAAAGAATTGTTCAAATTATTGTGACATATACAGATCAGCCATAGGATCATGACCACTGACAAGTATGGTGAAAACAGCCTGATCCTCTTTCAGCTGGATAAATCACCCAAAATGCTGCCTTTAGTAGCTTAAGGAACATAAGTGAGGTATTGACTTCTGGTTTCAAGCATCTGTTGGATGTGCTGAACAAACATGTCTTCAAAAGTCTGCCTCACAACTTCCAGGATTTGGGATTTAGATGGCTAGAATCCATGTTTTGATGTGTCCGGAGTGCTATGGTGGCAAATATTAGGATTATAGCCCTAATATTTAGTTCTAGTTATGGCTGATCAGTGCAAGTCCTTTAGATTTAATGTCTGTTAAACGCGCCCCAGTTATGGATTTAGGTTTTAAAAAATCCTGAAAACTCTGAATTGTGAAAAATGCTCATCAACTTATAAACCTTTGAAATTTTGCTCAAGATCTGAATTAGTGGTGCGATTGGTCCAAAATGTCCTTCCAAACATCAGATACTCACTTTAGACTGGAATTATTCTAAAAAAAAAATATTTTTTTGGTTATATAAAGGAAATTCCCTTTAAATCTTCATTTTTTTAAACAAATCTCTGATTATTACTTTTAAAAATTTAAGTCTGGTTTCTATCTACTATTAGATGAAAGATGCAGCTCCAGTGTAAGATGTGTAACTGGTGAAATGCTGAATCATAAAATCCACTTCTGCTTAACGCTATTTTTTCTCATAAATGTAATGAATTCAATGAGATTTTTTCTCGTCTATGGAAACCCAATGTTATCACAGATTTCAGTAAATTTAGAAAACTGAAGCCACGTGGTGACTTAGTTAGCAACAGTTATGTTTAAGTGTAGTGTAGCCCTTCTTTTTGAGGCATAGAATCACAGTTGATGTTCGCCTTAACTCTTATAACCTGGATAAGTTCACCAGCTAATATTAAAAAATCCACTCAGTGGAGGAAAAACATTCACTCCACACTTGAAATCATTTACTTATTTTATTGTGTCTGAATACGATTGTGTATTTGTAAGAAGTTAGTAACTGATGAAGATCCTGCAGGCAGAAGACGGCCCTGTCCCTCACTGGTGTTAATGCTGCCTCTAATGGTTTCCTGTTTATCTGAGAAACATCCCCCTGTATCCCTTTTGTGTTTGACACTGAGGTTTTCTCACAGCAAAAACACACTTGGTTAGGTTCATGAAGTGGCTCTGATGTTTGTTGCCAAGCCTTTAAAATGTCATGAAGCAAAGATGAAAATAGGATTTCGGGCTGAAATTAGGAGTGATATGCAAATGAAAAATTCTTGTGGTTTAAAATGATGAAAAAAAATAAAACTGTCTTTGAAACCTGATGAGAGCTTTTATTTGGTGATTATTTGTGATACTTCTACGAGAATTGTTTAATAAGTTTGGTAGAATGTTCATGAGAACATTTGAAATTGTGTTTAAATTCAGTTTTACAGTTCAGTTTCTAGCTGAGCACTGAAAGTCATAACGCAGATGATTCATATTGGGTCTCTACTGCCTCTAGAAACACTCCAAACGTGGGAAAAAATCTATCCATCTATTTCATGTCAGTGTGGTTTTAGTAATGTGCCTAAAACAAGCCATTAAAATACAATGTTTGTGACGTCACAAACAAGGACATAAGAATCGAACCACCTCTCATCTGCAAGAGAGCCCCTCCTGGATTTCAGAGCTTCTCAGCTTATAGCAGCCCGAGCGGGGGATGGGTGCGAGGGGCCAGCTGCAGCTTGTTTTCTAAGTGACAGAGCCCTGAAATGACTCATTCTGGAAGGTACTGACATGGTCAAGAATAAAACTGCTGAAATTGCTTCATGTGAGGATTTAGTGGTGATAACTTAACATGATTTGTGTCAACCATAAAACTATTATAACTTAAGAAAAAGATAATTTATTCTTTAAACAAACTATACATGCCAGTGTAATCAAAAGATCTGCACCAGTGGTGCACATTTAGAATTACAGATTTTTGACTAACTAGATCAAATTACTCAGAAATCTAAATATTACATATTGTAGGGGAGTAAGTTTCTTTCAAAAAGATTTAATGAAATAATATGGACTCTTTGTTCTTTTCTCGTATGATCACCCTCTATAGTGATTTAGCTTTTTTGAATTAGAAACTATTATTTTTGCTTTGATGTGAAGAAAAGAACATCCTGATTGAAACAGATCCAGTGTGCAGATGTGGGTCACACCTAAAAAACTCCCTTTCTTCCTAATGAAAAATGCATCTAAATTTTCTTTCCATTTTAAGAAATGAAACAGCATCTTTGTTCCTGACTCGTGTTCTTTTAAAGGTTCTGTCAATAATCTACCTGTAAACACTGAAGGAAAAACTGAATGTGACAGAAATGATGAGTAACATTTTTTAACTGCTCCTTCAAAATGGATTTCAAACAAAATATATATTGAGCATTCGTCAGATTGCCATTTTAATTGCCCCTGTTATTTTAATAGTATTTGTTTTTCAAATATGCATTTTCTAAAAGGGAAAATAAAGCTTGTGGGTAAGCATCTGATTTATTTAATCAAAAGTTAGCCAATCCCTGACATTTAAGGAACACTCAAATAGATTTTTGCACCACAGAAAATCCAAAGCAATCAAATAACACGTTTGCCTTAAATTTCTGTACAGCATCTATTATTCTATGCTGCAAAACCTCTTTCTGGGTTTTAAAATGTACAGTGAAACATGTGCTGCCAGTGGAAGAATGTTTGTCTCCACCTTGTGGCTGAATTGTGATTTCTACAGTTGATCATTCTCGAAATAGAAAATAACTCTTGTATTTGATTCTATTATAAAATAAAAGCATTCCAGCTCTCAGATTTAGTTTGTTTCTGTATGAAAGTCTTCTATAAGACCACAAGTCCAATGAAGAAAAATCATTAAAAGCAGATGATTAAACATGAACTTGAGGCATTAGTTTTAATCAACTAAAGCTTATATCCAGTCTGCATTCTCACATTCAGGGTTTGTCCTGCTGAGCCTCTAAGTGTCTTTGAGCTGCTTTCAGCGTTTCCTGCAGATCTTTGTAACCAGCCAGAGAGCAGGCCTCCTCCAGCTGGACCCAGCGGTAGTCCTGGTGCTCATCAGACAATGTCACTGCAGTTCCTGGGTCTCTCAGCTCAGCCAGCCAGTACAGCACCTCTTTGGGTTTACCTCGAACCTTGTAGTTCAGCTTTTGGACAAAACTGTCCACCACTTGCAGATGCTCCACCCCTAGCCCGGCCTCTTCTTTGGTCTCTCGCAGCGCTGTGGTGAGGTCATCCTCACCTGGGTCCACATGACCTGACAGTGGAGATTAAATGTTGACAAACATAAAATGTAACAATCTGATTCTTCAATGCCTTTAACACACCTTTGGGTGGGGTCCAGTGGTGCTCCCCATAAGAAGTCTGTAGAAGGAGGTACTCGATGTTGCCTTGAGGTGGTGCACTGCCAGCTATTCTGCGAAACACTATGAACCCACAAGCTCGTAGCGCCATCTTCTTGTTGAGAAAATTAGCAAACAGTTAGGTTAAACTGCCCTAAATTTGTTATACAGACAAGGTTGATTACTGTGTACTACTGTAAGAACAGAAAGAGCTGAACAGCTAGGTGTATTTACATCAAACCGATAAGAATCAGTTGGGACAAAGTTGTAGAATTATGAAATCAAGAATCATCTGAATGTTAACTTACCAACAAAACAAACTCAAGAGCACTAGAAATAACTAAACACATACACATGCCACATTCTGCAAGTTTTAGTGCTTTTAGATTAATATATAATAGCAAAAACAACCCCCCCAAAAAAGAAACCGCTAAACAAAATTATCTCTGTGGCAAGTGGCAACCAGCAATGTATACCATTATAGGTCTAGAAGTGGCTGACTGTTCAACACTTTTACCCTTACTAATCTTTAAAAGGACCATGTAAAATCACAACAGCGTTTAATAATGTACCTACATTTAAATAATTATAATTCAGAAATGTTGGGAAAACGAAAGTAGTAGGGAGAATGAAGCTTTTGACTATCTGATATCTGATCCACTTTATTATTCTCATTAGCAAAAGTCAAAAATAAAACATTTGATTTAATAGTTTTGTTAATTAGTTACCACAAACCATCTTTACATGTATGTTCTATTAATTCGGTTCGATCAACTAGCAGGAGAAGACAAAATTTGTTTTACTAAAAATATAGATTATTGTTTATCCACTGTTAGCTATTGTAGATCCACTGTTAGCTACTGTAGCTAATATGCTAATGCAACAGAGTGAACCCGTGTAATAAATGTTCTAGTTTAAGCTTTGTTGATCCTTTCATACTTTTCTACTTGTGTTCGGTAAGGAGGCGGACAAAATATAATAAAAATAAACCTGAAACTTACGGTTTACTGGTAATTAAAGTAACTCAGCAAGGGTCGCATCAGCTGAACGTTAACCAGTGCACCAGGATATCCATCCGGACATAAACGACAAATGAAACAAACAGTTCTGCTAGACAGATTTTTTTTGGTAAAAATTTTTCAGATAAAAATGTATTTGTAACCCCGTTTAAATAAATCACTATTATTATACTGCACAGATAGTTTTTAAATAAAAATGCTAAAACAACATGAAATATAATAAAACATTTTCCCTATTAGGCTCAATGTTGAATTAAGAGCAACTGCACTGTACAGTAGGTGTATTTAGTGATTTTAAACAATGTCCAAGCTCTAACAAAGTGCTTTAATTGTAAATAATTAGTTAATCTTAATTTCAGCGTAAACATAAAGCTTATTTATGTCGATTTGTTTAAATACATCTTGGGTTATATACTTTACATTTAGGGTTCCTTTATTAATGTTACTTGTTAAATGATTTATTAAGCATTAATAAACAAAGGGTTCCTTCATTGACATTCCCAATATTGTTAACTATCAGGTGTCCTCAATGTTAGGGTGACAGACCGGGGTAGGGGTGGGGTGTCTGCTTAGTAATGCATTACATAATACGGTTAAGTAGTTGTTATTTCTTTATTAAATAGTTTATTAATGCTTAATAATGCACTAATGTTTATAAAGAGACTCTCATTGTAAAGTGTTTCCACATTTTGTTTCATTTGACTTCAGTAAAAAAATACAGGGAAGTGCCAATTTTCATTTGCATTATTTTGATTATTTTATTTTAAATAATAAAGGGTTTATCTACTATAATGATGGGCACTGACACCAGTCACTTTTCTAGATCTCAGGAAATTTAAACTACAACGTTACAGAACATTCTTGTGCTGCATACAAACACAAGCAGATAGAAATAAAAACAGTCAAATAGCTAGTTGTGCTCCAGACACGAGGCTGACACACTCAGATGTTATCAGTTCATTAAGAGTGAGGTTTGTGTCTGAAAGGAGTTTGATAAGAAACATACCCTGAGTAGGCAGGGCAAACTGAAGACAGGCTGTGCGTGAAGATAATAGAGATGCACCCTCTGCTCTATGTAACCCTGAGCTGTCAGCAGAGCAGTCACTCGGTTCAGAGGAGAAGACACGGCTGCTAAGTTTCAAGGTAGTCAAAATATGGACTAAATTGTTTTTTTTTCACATGCATAGGGGACATAAAATGAATGAGCTGTACAACAATATGCTAGGACATTTAATCCACATCATTTTTGCATTCTCTGAAAGCATGAAGACATATCTGTTGATAATTATTTTGCTGTTCTGTAATTAATGTCTTGTTTTAGTTTTACTTTAGCTGCCATGTGACTTCTGCTGCTACAGTGTTCATTCAACCTCCTTAAGAAATCATGATTATTGATTCATCCACAAATCTGGAAGTTCATTTAGTTTATTATAATATAAACATTCACGAAATGTTAATATAAATACAATATTCACCAGATGACAGCAAGGCCGATCTTGGCTATTAATGCTTAGGATACTGATGTGATCCGAAGGTACAAGATAGATACACCTAATTTATGATGGCAGTTGAGACCAGAGGTGCCAGGACAACATAAATACTAAAGCTTCTCTACTGTCCTTGAGTTTTCACCATAAAATACATCAAAGATACTTTTTGGGAAACGTTAGAATTCTTGGTAAACATCTGGGAACATAAGAAAAAAGTTTAAGGATTTTTTGTTGTGTGAATGTAAACAAGGGAAATTTTTTTTAAACAGATTGACACAAGAGGCAATGGAGGAGACAGAGCAGCCAGCAGGAGGACTTCACTTTATTGGGAAAAAGGATGAACTGATTGAAGCAAAGCGCTCTTTCAGAACAGTCGACGGTCGAGATATTCTGATTATCCACCATCAGGGAGTCTTTTATGCTATGGACTGTTACTGTTATCGTGAGTACAAACTTCCTGTAGTAAAAGGGTCACATTTTTTGTCCTTTATAAAGTCAGATGAGGGAACTTTACTATGCTGATGTACCTGTTATTAGACTTTACTAAATAAAGCCAACAAATTGTTGCTATGCAATGAAACACAATTCTGTCCGTCATACAGATGCTGGAGGAACACTGGAGAATGGAGACATTGAGGTAACTTATTAAATGTGATCATTCTTAAAATGTTGTTTATTTTATTCCGATCCTATTACTGTGCAGTATGTAAGAATGAAGTAAGAATTAATTTCTGTGGTCAAATTTGGTTGCTGCAGCCTATTTTTCGAAGCAAAAAAAAAAAATCACAATTTCACTGCCGTTCTGTGAGTTTCATGGCTGTTGCCAGATACGGATTGGTGCTAGAAGTTTTAAGATTACACTTAAACAAAAAAGTTACAACCCCCCCACCCAAGAGTTGTCATTTATATAAACTAGATATATTAAACCTAAAACGTTTTTTGAACCAGGCTGTAAACATGTTTATTTCTGCTGTGAAATTGGCATTTTTAACATGGGAGTAAATGAGGATTTGCTTAATTCTGCTGCCACCCCCTAGCAGATGAGAGTGGAACTGCAATTTTTGCCACTTGCTTGTTGGCTTCAGGTCTTGAGAGTCTTGGTGTTTTGTGGTAGTTACTACACTTGTTACGAAAAAAAAAGGAACAGAAAGTGTTTGCCGTCTTTTAGCTTGCTATTATAGTCAGGACTAATTAGATCAAATAAAACGCCACCATTGACTCATTATTCACTTCACACATACAATTTACTGTAAAACTGAGTTGTTGTAATGGAAAACATAGGTTGAGATATTTTAAGAGCTGACTATTTGCTTCCAAACTCACCATTAGGGTTGTTAGCTTAACATTAGCCTCTAGCCTTCTTTACCCAAATACAGAGTAAAACAAAAAGATTTTGTGGCTTCTTAGACATAAAAGAAATAACTTCTGGGTCACTCCTGTTTACTGGCTTTGGCTCTTTAAACAACTCTGGAGCAGTTTGCCTGCTAGCGTCAAATCACAACTGCCAGCACACCAGTGTTAGCTTGGCGCAAACGTGCCTTCTGAACTCACTGATTGGAAATAGTAACTACGCCCCTTTTTTTAAAGGGACACCCTCCCCCCGCCCCCACCCCACCCCAGCTGGCTGAGAAGAAAATCTGTTTCAATGCAACCTTTCATCGAACATGATTGAGATACTGTTTTCTGATTATTTCACTATAACATTTTTACATATTGCTCCTTTAACAATAGCCAACAGACAGCTGCTAAGACAATAAATAAAAAAGGCTGTAATTATGATATCAAATTTGCATGGCATTACCATGTTAACACCTGCTTTGTTTCTCCAACACACACAGGAAATTAATGGCAAGCTGTGCATAATTTGTCCAAAGCACAAGTACAAGATCTCGCTGTGTGAAGGTGAAGGGTTGTACAGGGGCAGAAATCCCCAGGAGGAACCGCCTGTGTACAGATGGTACTCCAAGGGGGTGAAGCAGCGGACCCACACTGTTACAGAGACCAATGGGGAGATCTTTGTCAAGATGTCCTCACAACCAGGCTGGATTGACTCAGACTACTACCAAGGAGAAAAAGGCAAGATTGAAAGAGCCAAAGCTGAGGCCGAAAAGGATGAGACGTTAATGATGGACGAGGAAAATCTATGAAGGCTGCATCCCATCCTCATGCACAAAAATGGAGGCTTTTTGACATGAACTAACATCTTAACTTAGTTTTAAGCATTTAGACTTTTAAATTCTATAACATTCACACAACTTTGGCAGTTTGTGTGGATTTGTGTGTCTCAAACCATCATCTCCTTCAGTAAACAAACTTCTTCCATGAGTGAATTTTGATTTTATTCTCTGCTCTGTGACAATGAACAATGCTATGAAGCAGCTAGATGTGTGCCCACGCTCTTCCTCTGCAGCTCCTTTTTCATGCATTATGCATGCAGTTACTGAATCGATGTGATAAAAAAGCTTTACTCTGATCAATAAAGTCTTGGAAGTGGAGAATTGTTTATGCCAAATATTAAATAAATAAACCATCAAAAGACAGTGGCTGATCTTTGCGTTATCCGTGTGTATTTTCCAGAGACAACAGCAAAAAGAATGAAAAGGAGATCAAAAGCTTTTTGTATAACTAATGACATTAAAATGTGTTCAATGAGAGTCACCTCATAGATCTACCGTGGAAAAGTCTAAATCCAGACTCATTTATGGTAAATGCTGGTGCTGGTTGGAGGGACCATTGGCGACAGTGTTTAGCAGTCTCGCTTCTGTCAGTGCAACCTTAGGGCAGCTGTGGCTACATCGTAACTTTTCCCCACTAGTGTGTGAATGTGTGAATAACTGATTGTGTTTTGAAGCACTTTAGGGGGGTTGTAGAACCCTAAGAAGATGCTTAAGGGCTTGGATTGGGGGGTTAAACCACCAAATAGTTCTTGAGCACCTCCCCTATACGGAGATGGGTCAAATGCAGAGAAGTAATTTCACCAGTGTGTGATGATGACTAATGGGACTTTTAAACAGCCCCTGTTAGTTGAAACAGAGTTTACAATCAATAGGATTGATATGCTAGCAGCTAGTCCTAAAGCGGCCAAGACCAAAGTGTATTAATACTAGGGTTGTGAGAGATAAACCAATGCGACCGGATATTCTGTTTAACAAGTGAGAGATTTAGGTGCATTGCAGCCTCCTCAATTGATAGGGAAAAGACCTGAACTCATAGATGAATCGATTGTAGAGTAATCGATCGGGTATCGCGAGATTTGAGTCGGTTGGCGGCATCATACGTAGGCCGGGCACCAGAATCGCTAAAACATCACGAGAGCTTAAGCTACCCCGCGAACCTAACGAAGAAGAAGCTCCCCGCTAAACACAATAGCTGCCAGTGACTAGCTGTAGCTCAAATGACAACACGGAAAATGGAGGAGGCGGAGACGCCAACATTAGCCTGAGCGAAAGAAGTAATAATACACCCAGACAGATTTTCAACGCACCAGGAAAACAAAAATCCAAGGTGTGGACCGCGTTTGGGTTTTATAAGACAGAAGGGAAGCTCAACAGAAGCCATGCTATTTGTAAACTGTGTAGAACCTCGTTGACCTACTCCGGGAGCACTACAAATCTGGACCAGCATGCAAAGAGAAAACACGGTGAAGAGTACGGTGAGTTCACCGAGCAGAAGCGTGCAGGAATCAGTGGCAAACAGGCAAGGACGGAGAACGCCATTCCTACTTTTTTCCAGCGACTTGGTCAAAACTCAGCACGTGCTAAGGAAATCACGGCATCAATAACACATTTTATTGCCAAAGGATTATGTCTTTACAATATTGTCGAGTGGGAAGGATTTCAAGATTTGATTCATACATTAGAGCCCAGATATAAGATACCGTCCCGAAATCACATCACCAACACATGTATACCAGCGTTGTATGCCCAGATTAAGAGCCAAGTTGAAGAAAAACTGGCAAAAGCAGAAAGAGTGGCAATAATAACTGATGCTGGACATTATACACGACGGAGTCGTATGTGACCATCACAGCCCACCACATCCCTCCAGACTGGGAGTTAAATGTTTACGTCTTACAGACCCAGGCATTCAAAGGATCCCACACTGGGAAGAATGAAGGTTCTCTACTGAAACAGGCATGTGCTGACTGGAAGATTCTAGATAAAGAGCCAGCCCTGGTAACTGACAACGCCACAAACATGGTTTTAGCTGGCATGGAAGCAGAAATGACTCCTCACCTCATGTGCTTTGCACACATTATAAATCTGGCCACACAGAAAGCCTTCAAAGTGGACACAGTAGCAAGGTTGTTGGAAAAGGTGAGAAGAGTGGTTGCCTTTTTTCACCGCTGTGACAGCGCAGCAGAAATTCTACAAGACAAACAGAAACAACTTGCTTTGCCTACCCACAAACCCATCCAAGACGTCTCCACCCGGTGGAATAGTACCCAGAACATGCTTGAACGGATACTTGAACAACAGCCTGCCATCTCTGCTGCACTCATGTCCAGGGATCTCAGAAGAGGAGAAGAGCTTAGCACTCTGAAGGACAAAGACTTCTGTGATGTTGAAGACATTGTGAAGCTGATGGTGCCAGTCAAACTTGTGACGATCAGCATGTGTGAAGATAAGCGACCCACACTCTCAATCATTTTCCCTGTCAGAGCAAAGCTTAAAAAGACATTTGAAGCAGCAGATGAAGACAGTAGCAATCAGAGATGAAACAAGCATTCAGAGAGGACTTGGGAGAAGCGCTACACTGGCCTGGAGGATCTGTTCCACACTGCAGCAGCTCTGAACCCCTGCTTCAAGTCTCTGCCCTTCCTGACGGACCATGATGCTGAGCAGACGCTCGCAAACATAACAGCAAAAGCTACATCCCTGCATAACAAGGTACACCTGGAAACACCACATCATTTCATTAAGTATTGTAAAATACACAGTATTGTGTATTTTGTGTTGAGTAAATGAGCTTTGTTTTAAACAAAATACACATTACAGTGCATTGTATTAATCTATAATTCGATATTATTAGATTTATTCTGACTACTGTTACTGTTTGTTTGATTTTGTACACAAGCTGTCTTTTATATTTCACGTTTCAGTCACTATTGTTAGGGGGGCATTGCCCCTCCTTGCCCGTGCCTACATCCGGACCCGTTCCCCAGGCGTGAAGCTACATTTTGAGATGAGGCTAATCATCACTATAGGGTTACTGTTTATAGGTGTGTGACTTGTTTACATTAAAATGTTGCACTTTGTTACCTACCTCTAATGTTCAAAACATTATGATCAGGCTGAAATCTTGCACTTTTTTATAACTAGTCTTGTCACTTTTACCTCTGGAACTCCCATTCAGCGATCCAACCACTTTTCTCCATGTCTAAAAATAAGTATAGTAACATGTGGTTTTGGTATTCTGTTTTTCTTTAGTTTTTTTCCCACAAATGCCATAAGGCCACAATGCTTAAGACATGTTTTTTTTTTACATAATTGAAAGTAAATGTGGTACTGTCACTTTAACGGAACTGGGTTCTTTCCTTTATAAAATATATTCAACAAATATTAACTATAGAATCAAATTGTTTAGTTATTCTTACTGTACCACATCGTTAAAAATTGAACCGAACCGTTTTGAATCAGTCTGTAATAAAAGGATAAGATGTTCAAATAAAAGGATATCGTTTTTGAATCAAATCGTAACCTGTGCATTTAGATTCATATTGAATCGTTTTTCACAGAGAGATGTGCATCCCTAATTACTACTGTCTAAAAATGGCTCCAATCTCCTCAAATTTACAGTGGTTTATGCCAATGCTTTTGTAGCTCCCTGTCAAATAAAACAGGGCATTTTACTTGACTGAGAACCTACTTCTCATGAACATAAACCAAAGCAAGTCACTATAAAAGCTAAACAAGGAATAAAACAAGAATGTCTGTCAACCTATCATAATACTGCTTAAATTACATGATTTATTAGTTTTGTACTTCATAAGTACACAATGTCTTGGCTGTCCTCTGACTAGCTGTTAGCTCATCAGGCCTGGTGGAAGGACAATTCTCCAGAATGAAGCTATTCATAAACCAGGTAAGATTGTGATAGTTAATAATTGTTACAGATAACATACTTAAAATGGTTGAAATGTCCATTTAGCACCCAGTGTTAAATACACTTAACCCTTTGATTTAAAGGGTTGAGAAAACATGTCATCTCATCTTCATATTTGTTTACTGGTTTCACAGCTACGCAGGACAAGCGACATGAACCCAGATCTGTACTTGATGTTGTTTAAGACTCTTTAGGTGCTTTGGGCTGTGACGTTTTAGTGTGTACAAATAAAGCTGGTTTCTGTTACAGCTTCGACTCCTACTACTCATAGAAGACCTCTTCCCAAGAGGTGCTTCAAATGCAGTTTTTAAAAAGAAAAATAGCACAAAAACACAGAGTGTGGGTTCAGGTGCAACCCATTTGCAGTTACTATTGATTCAATATTTCGCCTCGACTGAATGCTGGAGCCATTTATCTGCAGGGTGTCATTCATAATAGGTCAAGTGATGGTCGTTTGTCAAGACTGAGCTGACTGTGAGGAAACTGCTAAGCAGAGGTACCAGCATGTGAGCAGCATGGAGTTTTAGTTTTGCAGACAATTAAAATTCAACACCTTGCGCTATATTATGCATCAAATTATGTAGCTGTGAATGGTGCAAAATGCTTAAATTAAACTTTTATAACTCCTCAGGCTATTCTTCTGCTTGAAAAAGCTCCAGAGGTCTATGAGTTTACCTATGAGAGCCTAGATCTAATTTACCAACTATTACATCCTCCCTCAGCAGGACACTATCAGTAACAGGTAACATATTTTACAGTAGATATTTTTTAAAATATATTTAATGCTTTATATTTTTCAATGTGTGACCTTACTAGTGTTCTCCTTACAGAGCAAATTTGATTATCAACAGTTTTTTTAAATAGAACTAGGGAACCCATTGACTGAGAAGCCGAGTTTAAAGGTGCAATATGTAAGAATGACTCATTAAAGGAATTGAAACGCCATCATTGACACATCATTCACTGCACGCATACATTTATCTGTAATATCGAGTTGCTGGTAACTGAAAAGGTAGCTAGAGATATTTTTAGAGCTTCTAATTCACATTTAGCTCAATGTTAGCCTCCACCCTGCTTCAGCTGATATCAGAGTAAAGCAAAAAGATGTTGTGGCTTCTTAAGCCTGATTTATGCTTCTCCGTCTGCGTCAGTGCGGAGACACACAACGCCATTATCCGTCCTTGCATAGGGCTCCGGCAGGCACACAAGTACGTACGAGTCGAGCCCACTTTTTTAAACATCCATCGAACGAAACGGATTACGCAAGCTTGTGATTGGTCAGGACGCCGCTGTTGTTTACAGCGCCGCCATTGCAAAGAGAGCCGAGTTTAACTAGCGGCAGACACAAAGAAGCTCGAAGAATACCTCGCGAAAAAACTCTAAAAATATGAACGTTTCATCCTCCCGTGACTGGAGGAGTGAAAAGATGCGCAGCAAGCATTTTATTTGTGGACGGAAATGACAGGAAACGTGGGTTTCGAGGTGGGGAGCGCATGAAGTGGTGGGAGAATGAGAGACAAATATGTCCGTGTTAAAAGTCTCTTATATACACAAAAAACACAATATAAACACACTATCTTGGACCGATACATGACAGGATACCGCACAACAGCGCTACGCCCTCTGTGGTCCTGCCGGGCAATTGCTTTGCAACACTCCCCAGGAGACAGAGAAGTAAAAGAGCAAAACGCTTCCGTCAATCCGTGCGTGTCTGTCACTTGCGGAGCTGACGGAGAAGCATAAACCAGGCTTTAGGGGTAACAAGAAATAACTTCTGGGTCGATCCTGTTTACTGGTAGTTTTCTTCAAATTAAGCTGGAGCACTTTGACTCATCTGACCACAGACTATACATAACGTCTTGTTATTTTGTACACCAGATCACAGTTTTTGGATGATACAGAATACTTTTGCTGACTGACGATTAGGTTCAAAAAGTAAATGTTGGCAACTTTGGCAAATGAGATGGAATTCCATCTGAAGGGTCAAAGGCCACTTTCTCCTGTTTTAGGCATTTTGTGCACAGTTTTTTCCCCTCAGACTCAGTCTTTTCATAGTAGCTTGCAATGGAGATACCATGAGACTAAAGATTATTTTCAATTTGGTTCTGACAAATGTATTTTAACTGATGTCATCCATATTTAACAAGCTTAAAACTCGCCCAGCGCGAACAAAACACCGTGTACTGAGCTCAGCTGTGTTTGTGTGTGAACTGGCTCGTATCGTGCTCATGTGCGCGTAGCTGAGTCAGCCAACCCCCCCCCCCCCCCCCCCCCCGGCGTCGACAGTTTATCTTTGCAGCTGACTTTTGTTTATTCGCCGACGCTATTCACCCGTCCGCTCACGGAGCCGCGAAGCTGCCCCCTCCCTACCGTTAACTGTGTTTTCCCGCGACCGACAACTTGTCCGTTAAGCGTGTCGGCTGCCCATGGGCGCTGCTGTTTGCCCCCTCCCCACCTCACCGCCGGTTTGGTTGTTGGGCTGTCCGGTGCGCCTCTGCTCTGCGGTCGGTTCAGGACGGTTATCGAGGCTCGCTTTTGTGAATGAGTACAATACGGGAGACATGCGAGTAAAGGCTCAACTCCTCTGTCGCCGGGGCTCCCGGGGGGCCAACCACCGATGAGAGGGATTACCGGCGGAGCGGAGCCGCGAATCATTGCGGAAAAGCGACCCTGACTGCAGACTGGCGCGGATAGAGGCACCGTGACGGAGACGGGCTCCACGGCGGAACAAAACCGCGGCGACCACAATGTAAGTTCCCATCAAACCACAGCTCAACATACATGTGAGGAGACGAGCTTTTTGTTTGTCTTTCATCAACACGTTCCTGCCAAACAACAACAGCAGCGTGACCTTCCGGGTTATTAAACCGTAGCAATTACTGATCGTCTCTGTCATCATCAGCCATGCGGTTGCTTTTGATGGATGAGATGAACATGTTCTGCCTCGCAGGTCCATCCACATCGTGGCTCTGGGCAGCGAGTGTCCCGGAGGAGTCGGGCCTGGAGAGGAGATCATGGGCCAGGGGCAGCTGCAGGGAGGCTTGCTGTGGAGCTACCTGGGTCACGGAGCGCTGGTGGGACCCTGCGACCTGGAGGGGAGTCTGCCCAACCCAGCCTTCTTGGAGTACACTTCACGTGTGTTTGGAGACGTTACTGTAGTGGTTCGGGATTGCCCCAGCTGGGTAAGAGTCAATGTGTTCCCCCCCAATAGTGCACGATTCTTAGTGTTTTTTAAGAGTCATCATCTTAGATTTAAAAGATGCCACAATCATCAAGATGGTAAAGCACGTGACGTCATTAAATAGCGTAATTTTCTCAGGTCACCATCAGTGTGAGAAAGGAAAGAAGAGTTTGTCGCTTTGCTGTCATGTTGACTGTTCAGGCTGCTGCTGTTGTTTCTCACAAGACTCCAAGACTTCTTCTGCGCTGATTGCAGGCTTTGTAAAAAAGGTTCTATTCTCAGAGCACATTGAAACGCATGCAAAAGACACACACACACACACACACACACACACACACACACACACACACACACACACACACACACACACACACACACACACACACACACACACACATTACAGAACTCTTGTTCCTAATAGAAAATGAACATAAAATGAGTCACTGTTGTGATTCTGAAGTGGCACCGTATACTTTCTATTGTAAATCTGTCAGGCTATGTTAGGGGTGTTTCTGGCAAAGTCTGTCAGTTTAATTCTCTTCCTTTTTGTCCAATTTTTATTCAAATAGCTCAGAGCTTGGCAAGTGTGCAATGAGTTGAATCAGACTGGTTTAGAGCAGCTAGTTCATGCAGGTCCTCAGGGGTAAAGTCCCCAGAGCGAGCTACATTGGTGCATTTGGAGTTTTGAGGGGAAAGGTTGGCGCTGAGGTGAAAATAATGCCACGTAATTATCTTTTCCTCCTGTGATTTCTATCCGTTTCGCACCTTTTTTCCAGGACTTGTTGGACAGCGACTGGGCGAGTGTACGGAAGGTTCTGGAGCAGGCCGACATCCTGGTCATTAAATATTCCGTCACAGACAAGCTGGCCTTCCAGCAAGTCAGAAATGGGTATGCCCCGAGGCTCCGCCCACTCCTGAGGCATTGGGGTGTGCCGGTCATCCTTGTTGCCATTGGAGCACGCCTGAATGGTGAGTAAGCTCATGCTTTTTGTCAGAGTCGGATGGAGTTTTTTTCCAGAATCATTGCTGTGCTTGAACACTGGAATTTGAGAAGTGCCCAAAAGTCTTTTATGGCTATTTGGTTTTATTGCTTTTAGAACGGCTCTTCTCGATGGGTGCGTGAGACCTCTTCTACATCTTGTGTCCTTTAGCATGTCCTCTCTGCAACATGGAGGAAGCTTGCATTTAAAAAGAAATCTCTTAGTTGCCTTCAGGCAGTCTGCTCATCCGCCTCATCCCTAAAGGAAACACTGCAAAGCAAAACATCCACTTCGTGGCTTCTGACGTGTTGCAAGTTCATGGCTGTAACAGTGAACAACAGTAGTGTGTTCCTTACTCTAAGCAGATTAGGGCATTTGGGTTGGAGCCTCATGGGAAGCTCACTGATACTTTAGGCAATTACATGCATTTGTATGGGAACCTCGGGACTGTTAGTAGTTTACTTTCCAGCAGCCACTCTGACCCTTGGTTGAATCTGATTGCAAAACAAACCCATCAAACACACCAGGATGTATTTTTAGCTCCTCTTCTTAACATACTCTGAGATCCAGTTGCAGAACAATCACGGTGTGAGTCTTTGCTGAGGAGAGAGATAAGAGGAGAGTGAATAACTTTTATCTTGAGGATTTTATCTGTTTTTCTTGGTTTTTTAGCTGCTGTGAGTTTTCAGCCTGACCCCTTCAGACTGGCAGACGGGCTGCATTATCTACTTTAATGCAGCCATTAAAGCAGCGATGAAGGATGATCAGAGACGTATTTATCCAGGGGCTCTCTCACCCTCACACACACAAACGTACCACAGATATGCCAAGTCACTTGTTTGTCAGAGGTTTACATACACACACACCCCTCGCTCATGGCCACACACCAACCCTAGCCCCGTTTCTGTGTCTTGCCTGCAGGTCGTTCTCTGTACGATTTATCAAATGTCAGAGCTTGGCTGCGTGTCCACTCTGCAGGGCTTCTTTTTTTTTAACTCTTTATTTATGAAAGGTACATCATTATTTTACAATAATATTTACATGTTTTGCAATCTCCAAGAATCTTTCTTTGTAGGATAAAATGTTCATTCCATAACCCCCTTTCCTTTTGACATTTGTTTATTTATTTATTTTTATTTTTTATTTTAAACTTTGTGAACTATAGGTGATGGGTGTGCATTCGCGTCCAACAGGGCTGCAACAAACGATTATTTGGATAATCGATTAATCGGATGGGGTCTCGACACGATTAATCGATTAATCGGATTACATGGGGAAATTTTTAAAAACTGCTAGGGAAACGTTATTTCTCTCCTTCCTTCACTTTATTTAACACAACATTATTAGAAAACAGTTCAATAGCAGAAAAACAACATGCCATCACCTAAATTGTCTTATAAGGTGTATAGACAGAGACCCTAAGCTACATCTATCTGTGACCTAAAATGCTTGGTCCAAGTTAAACAGCTTAAGGGCAATTCTCATCTGTTTTGTTTGATCTCATCTGTTGACATTTATTTTAAATGTAATTAAACATAGGCTGTGAATTAATCAAAATTGATCACTATTTCCAAAAATGACTGAAAAAATACCAAATAAAACAAAAGTAAATGAATGCCATTCTCCTTGCGATGATGCCCTGGGCAACTGCCATAAAGTCACATCAAGAAATGCTGCTGATCATTCCAATGATCCCAAATAGACTCACATTAGGCCACATGAAAGCAACTGAACCCAAAAATATATTAACCAGTATATAACTGCACTCTCACACAACACACCTGCAGCAACAGTTAGGACTCCTCCCTCCCTTTTAAAAGCGTTTTTGCTTCCGAGGACATTGTGGTTGTAAAACCACATGCTAGTAGTCTGGCCCCGGTGTGATCAACCAGTTTCTGCGGGAATGTGACGGCGGAACCAGGGCCAGATTAACACTTTGTTGTACCCTGGGCAACAATATTCAAGGGCTCCATCATCACGACCCGAGGATCACCATAATGTGGTCACATACAGAATATTTTACTGTAATATGCAGTAAATATACTCAATACTTGAATGCCTGACAACACGTAACCCGCCCAGAGTAACCTTTGACCCACCTCGTGTGGACTGACCAATGAGGAGAGGGTCTTAACTTGAGGCCCTCTCTTCATTGGTCAGTCTGCATGAGACTGACTCTCAACTGACATTCGAAGTCATAGGCAGCAAAGCGTCTCTGTGCAGGGCAAAAGCCCGGGTGGACAGTTTGTTTAATGTAGGGTGATCATATTTCCATTTCCAAACAAGAGGACAGGGGATCTGTGCCTATGATGTCACACTATGGCAACGCCACACAAACCATGTTGGGACCCATTTTTTGTAAGAACTAAATTAATATCAGATTCTGCCAATAAAAGGGCTCTAAAACAATTCATATGTAAATATTTTGCATATTTAATGCAAAATCTCATTTTTATGCTTTAGTGCTGCAACAAGGTTTTATTAATAATAAATTATTATACCTTTTGTTTTACTACAGCATCGGTAAGCTTCCTGTGCACAGATTATTAAGGATGCTTGTTTCAGCTGTGAGATTAGACGATAGGATCAATGATAAAATAAGTTGTCACACACTCCATGGAAACTTTCAGATAATCCACAAATAGTGGCTTTCAAATGGTTTTGTTACTTTTTGCAAGTTTAGAAAAGAAGCTGATGAGACAGCATGTCTTATAATTTAGTTTTTCATCTGATATATTAGAACATGTCAGTAATGTCTGAGGGGCTTTTACAAACACTGTATAACTAATACTCCTGGAGAGGGCATCAATTACACAGAGGCTTCTGGGGAGCCCAGTTATGGGGGGGGGACATTTTGCCTTGGCCCCCAAAATGTCTTGAAACGGCCCTGGGTGTGTGACTGAGTTTTGAAGGTGATCTGAATTGTATCAGATGTATAACTATGACATGTGTATAACTTATTGTTTTTTACTGGTAAAAACGTGTAGTGGAGATAAATCTACCTACATTTTACTTTGTTTTCTTGTTTTTATTTAACTATTTTCCTGTCCTGTCTGTCTCTCATCTTCCTGCATCTCCTCATAATTCTCCAGAAAATCTGTTGCCTGGATTCTTACTTTTTCACCTCATCAGTTACTTTTGAGCAGATCAAAGAGATCTCCTGACCGCAAAGCGGAGAGCGCGTTTTCGATGCTGCGTGAGGTGAAATCACAACAGCACAGGTGATGAGCTCCGCAGCAGAGCGCTTCAGGCACAAATAAGACAGAAAATAGAGAACATGTGCAGACAAGAACGATCATGTGCTAATTATAGTTTTTTGGTTGCGCCACTTTGAGAATGGACCGTGCGCTGGAAGCAGCTGCCTGGATCGCTGTGCAACAATGCGGAACCGGTTCGCAGCAGCGCAAGTCTGCAGGCTCTCCCTCGCGCTGATCTGCGGCTCTCCCTCGCGCTGATCTGCCTGTACCGGCTCTCCCTCGCGCTGATCTGCGGCTCTCCCTCGCGCTGATCTGCGGCTCTCCCTCGCGCTGATCTGACTTGCTCTGGTCTGCGCGCAACGGTGGGCGGGAGGGGGGGGGGGGGCGCTTTTGGAAGAGTTGTGCGACACAACGAATCGATGACGCAATTCGTTGCCAACGCTTTTAGTAATCGATTTTCATCGAATTGATCGATTCGTTGTTGCAGCCCTAGCGTCCAACGTCAATCAGCACCGAAACCAGTCCGGAGGTTACTTGTACATTACTTTATATTAAATAATATTACTTCCAAGTAGCTCTCCTCCTATTAAACTTCTCTGTTTGCATTCTAAGGGAGAAGGTAATTTTTTCCATTGTATAAATGTTTTTCACTATGTTTTCCCATTCCTCGACTGTTGGGGAGTCGGAGTGTAGCCAGTGTCTGGTTATGGTCTTTTTGCCAGCTAAAATAAGAATGTTAAATAGATATTTGCTAGAGAACCCTAGAGAGTTGTCCACTTTTCCAAAGAATATTGTCTCAAAGGTGAAAGGTATGTTCATTTTAAGTATTTTCTCTAACTTTTTGTGGAGGTCCGACCAAAAATGCTTAATTGGTGGGCATTCCCAGAAAATATGATAATGATGGCATCCTGGCACCCACACTGCCTCCAGCATTTAGGTTCTATCCCAGAAAAGGATTTCTGTTTTGGAGTGATAAAGTATCTAGTAAAGCATTTCTGTGAGAATTCTTTCTACGTGAGTGAGTTGGTGCAATTCCAAATAGATCTACAGTAATTTTGCCATTCTTCCTTTGAGATAATAGCTCCACTTTCTCCTTCCCATTTGTTTTTTATATATTCTGTTGAATTTGATTTTTTTTTAGCTAAAAGGCCCTCATACAGTCTGGAGATATTTCCTCAGTTTGTTTCTGATTTATATGCAGCAATGAATTATTTCAATGTAGGTTCTTCCAGGTCTATGACATGGTTAAGTGTCTTTTCATAGTAATGGTGTACTTGTAAATATCTAAAAAAAAATCTTGATTTTCAAGTGAATACTTGTTTTTTAGGGTCTCCATTATTTGTTTTCGATTATAGAGCGTAGGGTGGTAATTCCTTGAGCTTTCCATTTCAAGAACCCCGGATCTGATTGGCTAGGACCAAAGTCAGGATCATACGCACACCAACGCAGCACTTTAAAATTTTCCTGTAAATTATATCCCTCTTTAATGGCCCTCCAGATTTTCATCTGGTCTGTTATCCAGGGGTTCTGCACATTGTCTATAGTCTTTATCAAGTCCTGGTTTGCTAGTAATGCCTGAATTGGTTTATTTTTTGTTAGTGAGAATTCTATTTCTTTCCATCTTGAGTTGTAATCCTTATTGCATATATTTAGAGGTGGTTTTATCTGAGCTGAATAAAAGTAGTCCTTTAAGTTTGGTAGGGCCATGCCTCCTTGGTCCTTTGGGAGTTGTAGAGTTTTATATCTCACTTGTGGTTTTTTACCTTGCCATAGAAACCTTGATATTACCCTATCACATTCAGTAAATTGTTTTTGGTTAATTTCAATTGGAAGGCTTTGAAAAGAGAAATCTCATTAATATATTCATTTTTACTGTTTCAATTCTTTGAATGAGGTTACATAGTGGGTTACAATTCCATCTCTGAATATCTGTCTTAATTTGTGCCAGAAGCAAATCATAGTTCAATGTTTTCACTGATGTTATCTGTTTGGGAAAATGAATTCCCAAGTACTTTATCATGGTTTGGTCCCATTTCATTCAAAAAATTTTTTGTAAATGTTTAGTTGATCTAAAATTGAATGTTAGTACTTGGGTCTTTTGAATGTTGAGTTTATATCCTGCATAATGGCCAAAGGACTCTAGGATATTCATTAAGTTAGTAAATGATTCTAATGGTTCTGTCAGATGCACCAAGACATCATCCGCATACAGTGCTATTTTATGTTGTTCAGTGCCTATTATAATACCTTTAATATTTTCTGCTTGTCTTATCCATTGGGCTAATGGCTCGATGTACAGAGCGAAGACTAATGGTGACATTCCGCATCCTTGTCTTGTTCCTCGATTTAATTTTATTGAGTCGGATAAGTATCCATTTATTTTAATCCGGGCTGTAGGATTTGTATACAAAGCCTTAATACCCTTAATAAACTCTTCTGGGAATCCAAACCTTTCAAGGACTTTGTGCGTGTGTGAATGGGTGAATGAATGATTGTGTTGTAAAGCGCCTTGGGGGGGGGGGGGGGGGGGGGGGGGGGGGGGGTGTTCCAGGACTCTAGACGTCGCTATCTCAAAATACAAGCCATTTACCATAATAAACCTTCTGTACATTTACATTGTAAATTCCGTATTGATGCACTGATATGAAAATTTTGGGCCGATGCGATAAACCAATATTAATATCACTGTTATGGGCGATAGCCGATATTTGCCGATATCGATATACTGACATTAATGCTTCTAAAATCGGCAGATTGAATGTAGAATGAAAATTGTTAAAGCTGAATTAATGCTATTAAGTACACACAACACACACATTTACTGTTCTGAGATGATTTCATTCACTATTCAAATGACTAAACAATTACACATCACCCCCATCACCCTCTGAAACAGGCAAACAAATGGAGACGAGATGGAAAAATATCGATTGTTAATATCGGCCCGGTTTTATTTATCGAACAGATACCGATATGTTAAAAAAATGACTAACATCAGCCGATATTGATGCCGATATATTGTCCATCCCTAAAATTTCGGGTTCCTGTGGAGTTTTGAAGAGTCTGGAATGTGGTTTTGGTATTTTCTAGCTCTGAAAACAGAATGTTTGAAAATAATCCACAAAGATTTTCTAAGATGAAAAGCAAATAGTCTTAATATTCTCACATTTTAATGTTTCTTAAAAATAGGATGGAGTTGATGGAGCTTTGAAGCTTCCATCCATCAGTATCTGTTACTGATTGATAACACATGCAGCCATAAGAAGGGTTAAAGGTGTTCGTTTGTGCACTACTGTGAAAAAGCAACAAGGGGAGGGGGGTGGGGGGTCACTTTTCATGTAAAGATGTTTCATCATCAAAGACATAAAAAACCGATGAACTGAGTCTGAAAGGAGATGAATTTTAAAATATGAAAGTGTAGGAAGCCTGTATTTTTACCACTCAGATTTTATTTACTTTCTAATACTACGTACTGAGCTGAAGTGCTGATCTGTTAGAGTGTCTCAGATGTGTGCAGTGTAGAGATCTATAGCAGGGTGTATTGATCTTTGTTAGGCCGGAACGTAAACACTGGAGACGCTCTGTTCTAACAGCATTTGAGCCTTCTATGTGGTTCACCTCAACACGTTCAGCTCATTTGGTTGAACACTGCTCTGGTTTTGTTACGTTTATTTGTCTAATTAGTTTCCTTTCCATTAAAAAGCACGCTGTAATATGAAATTCTCTGTTCCTTCTCCCCTGCGTCCAGATGAAGGCCCTCCTTGTACGTGCCCGTTGTGTGCGTCTGACTGGAGCAGCTGTGTGCCTCACAGTGAAGGTCTGCAGCTCTCCCGGGACCTGGGGGCAACTTATCTGGAGCTGCCCTCTCTCAATCATGTCTTTGTTGGCCGATACTTTGGCAGCGTGGTAAGGATGATATAGGTTTATATAAGGTGACTGCTGAGCTTGCTTAATTCTGAGTGTGTGCACCTTAAATAAACCAGCTCCTGCATGTTTACTTAATGCTGAAATCCACAGGTTTTTCCCAGGATGAACAGCTGATGACGTCTTTATTTTTGCATGTTTGTTTTGTGTAGCTGGAGTACTTCATGATTCAGTGTCTGAAGCACAAAGCCAAAGAGAGGCCAGAGAAGAGGCGAGGAAACAAAGTGAACGAGCTCCGCCCCCCTCACTTAGAACAACCAGGTCAGAGATTATTATGACGTTTCATGAAATACTGTTCCTTTGTTCCCACTAGCATGTGTTTGTCTCTTTTGATTTCCATAAAAAAGTGCCTTTGTATTAAATCTATTATCGCTGTGTTTAGTGAACATTCAGTGGACTGAGTGGATCGTTTCCTCTTGAGCTTACAAAGCCATAAAAAGAGCTGAGCACAAAGGCTTTATGTGGATCAATACTCTCGGCCTCAAACTGGAAATAAGAAAAGAAACAAAAAAAAAAAGCTTGGTGGACTTCTTCTTTTCAGAGACAATTTAATCAATTAAAGAAAACAACTGAGTTAAGTGCCCTGTGTTAACAGTGAGGGATGTGAGTCACTACTCAGACTTACTTCAGACACAATTTTCTCAGTGAAATCAGGGCATTTGATTGGTGAACTTCTTTCTGCAGCTCGTTACATAGGCCCTGTACTCAGCCGGGCATCACACGAAACAAAGGTACTTTTCTATTGTTTGGCCAGTCATTCACACGAAGATAAACGGCACCTAAAAATGATTCTTTCAAAAAACGCAGACCAAGATGAGGATTTGCAAATCCTTCATCAGCAACATTTGCTTATGGATGTAAATAACTGGGGTTTTAGATTTTGTAACGTCACTGTTCTAGACAAAAATCCATGTGAAACGTGTGTGGGAGCCCACAGACAAAGGACGACATTCAGGGCAGTCATCAACCACCACCTAGCTATCCCACCAAGGAGTGTTTTTGGCAAAGATGCTGATGATTTTGAGAACTACTGCCTCCTACTGGCCTGGTGTGTCTATAACTGTGCTTCACAATGCACTGGATGATTTTGCTGAAAAGGAGGTGGCACAGACCCAAGTTTTTAGAAGAGCGGGGGTAAACATGTGTTGAACATTACAGCTCGCTCATCCGAACTCTTTTAAGCTTTAGAACGAGCCAGCCTTGAAAAGTTTCTTCATGCTCTGGGCACAACATTTACTCACTTGCAGATCTATTACAGACTTGATCAGACTGCCTCTAAGCCAGTCAAGCTCGGCAAAGACAGAATCGGGTGATTATGAGGGGATAAATGACCACGCTGATCAAAAGGGGATAAAACTCACAGAATTACACTCATTCATACACAGCGAGCAGCTTAGAGACAGGAAGTCTGATTACTGTTGATCTGCTTCAGACGCATTAGCCAGGTAAACTTGACAGCTGCATTTCTGCCACTTCCCTCTTATGTGTTTGTACTTTGACGATCTCTCGTGTAACTGGATGAAGTATATCTGATTAAATCTGAAACCATTTATTTGTAATTGTTGGGTGTTGCAGCAAAATGAAACTTCACTGTGCTGATGGTGAAACAAGCTAGAATCACAACTCTTACTGCAAATATATCAGTATAATAATCCTGTGCTCATATTATAAACAAAATTATTTCACTTGCATAAAAAAACCTGAGAATAGTCAACATAAGTCACGCTGTTGGTGATAAATATCAATTTGTCCGCTTTGCCTAAATCGAACACGGTGACTGAAAGCTTCAAAGTCTTGCCAAAAATGACAGCTAGGGCCGGTGAATTTATTGGTGCCTGTCTAACACCACTTAACTCAACTTATGGTGCAGCTTACATTAAATCTGACACTCCCCGATTCAGGAGCGCTCGCGCTTTCATGGCTGAATCGGAACAGCCATAAAGTGGGACACGAGGTACAAAGAGGTGCAGTGTGTGTTCGGCAGAAATAGGAATATAATAGGACAATGATTTGTAAAGCGCCCCAGCTCTGCTTTTACTCTCCTGCCTGTTGCGTTTCACTTTTTATTAACCCAACTGTCAGTACATAAACGATAAAGCATTTTTCTGAGTCTCATATTTTATTATTTAGGCAGAATTCGTCTTACAGCTTACTGCACATTATTTACATAAAGCTATCGCTAAGACTTTTTATTCCCAAACAGCTTTTTTAAAACAAAATTTTGGGGGTACATTGCATCTATTTTTGGTATGATCAAAATAATTTAAAACCTGACTATCAGTGGTCTGCTTTCAGCAGATTACAGAGTTTGTGTTATCTCACTAACCCAAATTCCAGTGGAGCTGCATGAGCGTGTCTTCATAAGGATGCAATTAGTGCTGAGAAAAAGTTTTTTTTCCCCAACATGGAAGAGAAGAAAAGACTTTTCTACACCCGTAGTGTCAAAGTCAATTCCTACACATTCGGCCCATCTCTCTCGGGCAAAACCTTCCACAAAAAGATCTCAGCAGTAAAAGTGAACTAGAAAACTCGACCACAGCGTTTCTGGCCGACTTGTAGAATAAAACATGTCAGACTTTCTTTTATGAGTGTTTTAGGTAGCGGATTTTATTATTATTATTATTATTATCAATGATCAACCATTATTTTGCATCCTTCTCCTCTCAGCTCGTCTTCCTCCCATCCGAGTGGAGGAGTCCAGCTTCTCCCAGGACATGCAGTGGCTGTTGGAGCGTGGTGTGCAGTTCGCAGACGTGGCTTTCTATGCCGGCGATTCTGGGAAAGAGCTGGGTTGGGCCCACGCGGCCGTGCTGTGTGCCGTCAGCCCGTACTTTCGACAGCTGCTCCTTGGGCCCAAGACCAGGTAGGAGACATATTTATATTTCATTTTGGCTTAATAAGCTATTATCAGATCCTGAGTCTGTGGAATACAGGAGCTCAGCTGTTTCTGCAGCATCTTGCTGTGAGTCATCATGAGCAACTTTGTCTCTGGTTGGACAGGGAGCGTCCACAGTCCAGGTGTATTTGCAGAGAGCGGGACGGAGGTCCCCATTCGCTGCTCTCCACCTGGGATGGAGGCATTATCGATGACATGCCCCGATCAGAAGGTCACCTGACAGGACGCCTCACTCGGCTGGTGGTGAAGGACCCCCTCCTCTGTATGTGCTTGTGGGAGACTCTCATGTTCATTTACAGAGGTAACTCCACCAATCACACACACCTCAGGTGAGGTGTGAGCTTTACTCATTAACTCTGTATTTTGGAGCCTAAATGATAATGTTGTTCATGCTCCATGTGGGAAACAAATGGAAACAACTTCCCGTAACTTCAGACAGAAGTCAGTCATATGTGGATTTCTCTGGGTTAGGTCAGTAATCCTTTTCTGTATATCACAATTTTTAGGATGCCTGAAACTCAGTTATTATTTCAAATGGCCTCAGAGTAGAGGTCGACCAATATTGGCTTTTCTATTACTGATACCGATGGCCGATAATGTACTGCAGATTTTTATTAGCTGATTTTCATGGCCTGCAGTACATCCAGACATTTTCCACCTTAGTTTCATATTAAAATGTCACTAATAACATCGGATGATGCACAGAATTTCTGTGGCTCTGAATTTAACAAAATGTTCAATCTTAACTTTGTGCACTGCTCAGTGGAAAATCAGACACCTAAATAAAGTTAGAGTATTTATTATTTAGATTTAATTAGTGAATGTAAAATTACATTTAAATAAAATTCTGCAACATCACCGTGCTGCCCAAAGGATGCTTCTTACTTTATTAGTGCTCAGCAATGAGTTCAGGGGCAGGGAAGAAAGCTGGATTTCTGCTTGGTAATGGTGCATTCATGGACACCTGTGCAAATTATGCAAAAATTATTGCTTCTTTCTGTGATGTGAAAGTTCAGAGGTTAAATCAACTTAGTTGTTGGAGTCAACCTTGAGGAATGAATCACTGGACCAGATTTAATGAAACTCAGAACGTGGTCATTAAAAATACTACATTTAAAATTGAATACCTTTTGTTATAAACCCAACTCAAGATTGGTTTGTGATTAAAAATCTTCATTAATGTCAAAAATAGAGCAGAACATTGAGAACTCCATCATTTATCAACGCAAGGTTATCGTAGTTTAGTTTGTTTTATTAAAGTAGGTCCAGTGTGGTGATTATTGAACAACAATGCAGCCCTGCTGGTGAACAACAATGAGCACGAGTCTTTGGTAACAGAATGAGTTACTCAATAGATAATTCTGATTAATGCTGCTTAATGATATGTTCATTAAAAGTTGGACCAGCATAAACTGCAACAAAGCTGCAACACACAAACGCCTGCCATCCCCTTCTGATTGGTCGGTCCAAGATGGGGTTACTCAGACTGACATTCTGGCAGCTGGATCAGAAGCAGGAAGTGCCAAACAGAGAGAGGAAATCAGGAAAGACAAAAGGTTCTTGCCAACAGCAGCTCCATCAAAACAAACCTAAACTCACTGCACACCATTGTTTTGTACTACACCATAAACATGGATGCCTGTTATAATCAAAATACTTCAGTGATGCATTTTCCTTTGTGAACAGAAACACTTTGTGCAAGTTCAAACTGGAGCTGAAATAAAGAGCTGGTCTCATCAGACAGGATCTCCTCCACCAAAGCTGTTAGTCATTTTCTAATCATTTAGATGTGATGATAAATGCTCTCTGGCAGCAGAAGGTCAGTAGCATCCTATTGGGTCTGGTCCAGTGGTCCATTATACTGAGAATCAGAAATCTGTCAGACTGAAAGCACTAGCTGCTAGTTTGGAAGCTGATCATTCATTTCATAAGTTTGATCTGCCTCTAGTGTTTTCTTTGTCTGCTCTAATCTCAATTCCATTTATTGTGATGAAACTGGTTGGAAAGGACTGGCACGCGGAGGAAAGCCTTTGAGGAAGTTTCCATCATTTGATCAGCTAATGGGATTAGCTCGTGAACGTGACTCTGTAAACGGTTTTAGTTATGTCAGCAGTGTCAAACATCGCAATGAAACAGGTTATTAAACAAGTCCTGAATGATCTTCTGTGACATTTATTAGCTACAAGTGTGCAGTTGTGAAGTAAAGCAGCTGCATAACACTTAAAATGGAGGTACTAGTGCCCAAAGTGATCTTTCAAGTGTGCATGAAGCTTTCCTAGTATGTGATGCCCTCTGCAACTTTCACTGAAAATAATGTCAGGCTGCAGCTTAGAGTCTGCAGAGCCGTGCACGCTCAACATTAGATCACAGCGCTCGAGCACAAATCCTTACAGCAAAGAAGCTTTTCTAGCATCTGATTTGTGGTTGCCTGTTAACATGTAACAGCAGCTCCAAGGCTCTGACACATAAACCCAAGAGGTAGACGCAGAAAAAAACCTAAGCAGGTAAAGCCTGAGCAGAGAGGGGAGAAAGATTAAAGGGTGAGACTGATTCTGTGTGAGCGACTGTATGAATAAGAATAAGAGAGCCAAAGGAGGAGTGTGTGCTTTTGTTACACTTCTATATAGTTCCTCTGTGTGTGTGTGTGTGTGTGTGTGTGTGTGTGTGTGTGTGTGTGTGTGTGTGTGTGTGTGTGTGTGTGTGTGTGTGTGTGTGTGTGTGTGTGTGTGTGTGTGTGTGTAGGAAATCAAGAGAAAGTTCTGTGTGGGGTGATAAATGAGGGTGGCAGAATGTGAGGATGAGACAGGAGGCGAATAGTCGGAGGAGAAGAGAGTAAGGCACTGCTCCTCTCTGATTGTGTAAGAAGACATGCTAGTAACAAGCAGCATACTGTGTGTGTGTGTGTGATTCAGAGAGAGTAGAGGAGACAGGTATATGTGTGCCAGAGTATGATGCAAATGTCATGTTTCTATAAGTCTTTGCAGATGGATAATGGGAATTATTGTGCTTAGAAGTCATAAAGCTAACCTTCAAAGCAAAACCCCCTTTTGCATATGTGCAGGGGTGTGTCCAGGGAGTGGCCTGGGGTAGCACATGCCACCCCTGGAATCTGATTGGCCGCCACAAGTAAATGCTTTTGACTTAAAGATAAGCCCAAGTCAAAATAGTTCAAAGCTGAAGCATAAGCTGTCTCAAATGAGCACTCGGCGACTCGCCATGTTTGTTTTTTCAGTAACACCCAAGCTACCGAGTGCTGTGATTGGCCCACCAAACCAATAGTGTGCTGTGGTTGGACTGCTATGGATGTCAGTCAACTAGGCAGTCCGCCATTACGTCATGAAAGAACTACATAAAACATAAAAAGCATAAAACAATACATAATTTTTATAAATAAATGCACTGTGGTTGGTCAGCCACAATCCTGGTCAGGTTGTGAAGGTTCCAATGAAGGATGACTAGATCGAAATACAAAGCAAAATTATTTTGCTTCGGCAAATGACGATCTGGATTCTAGGCTAGAAGTCAAATTCACTAGAATGCGGGAATAAAATTAAAATAAAACAATCATTGGTGCCACCCAGACATAAACAAGTGCCCCACCTACGCCAGCCCATTTTAAAAGGTCTGGTTATGCCGTTGCATATGTGTGGTAACTGACAACATATCGCTGCACGTATTGGTGCATCTTCTTCTCTTCTCTCATTAGATGTGAGTAGGAGCCTTCTTCAGCCACAGAAACAGAACGCTCTAAGGAAATATCAGATTTTCATTTGCAGTTGATCATGTAATTTCTCATCTGTAGCTTATTTAGCTAGAATAATTTCCAGTAGACGCATGGGATCACACCCACACTATTGTTGCACCCTGGGATTTTCTAACCTGACTGTGTGTGAGTAGTCACAGAGGCCGAGACTCTGATATGTGACACTAAAACACTCCGAGACTTTGTCTCCTTTTGTAGTGTGCTGCTGAATTATTGAAACTGTCACTTGGGTGCAGTTGAAGTGTGCATTTGCATTTTTCTCCATATGTTCTACAAGTTTATGATGCAAATGAAGATGTGTGTGTGAACACTTAGGTGTTACACAACAGGCTGCGGTTTTTATGGATGATTCTACAAACTAGAGGGGACAAAAATAATGAAATTTGTTTCCTTTGAAGCAACAGACATTTGTGTTTGCTGGACCACCTCATATAATTGTCTAATCAAGGAAGAAGCATAGGCTCAGTTGGGGAAAACGGTGTGGAAATATATCTGAATCAGTACAATCGGCTCCTGCAGTATTTGTGTTTGTGTGGAATGATGAAATGGAATACATACCTTATTACAACCCTTTGTTTGGTGGAAATAGTATCAATACTTGACAGACTTTTTGCTTCATATTTTTATACAGTGCTGTAAAAAAGTATTAAATACCCTTACAGATTTCCTTCATCATTGGACAAAGACAGTCATAAAATTAGTCTTTAAGTTGTGATTGAATTTGTTAATTAAAATATAGCAATTCACCCACCATCCTAATGTAAAAACATAACCATCCCCTTGTTGTGACACCCTTAGTATTCTTTACAGAATTGTTTAGTGTCAGCTACACCGGAGGGTTTTTCAGCATCAATGGCCTTTTTAAGATTTCATGGTTTTATCAATTACAGGAAGTGATCTAGAATGTTCAGTGAGACCAACAACTGGATGGTCCATAGTTGCTTATTATTTTAGTCATTTTTTTCATCTCCAAATATCTTTATAGCTATACTATGTTAGAATTTTGTTAGGAGGCATGTTTTTGGCCAATTTGTTTTCCAATTTTACCATTACCAACTGAGAACTGCAGAGCTTTAGATGCTTTTCTTTTTCTTTATTTTTTGGAGGTTTTTATTTTTTGTTGTTCTTGGATTTCCTTATAACCCCTACCTTTTTTTAGATCATTTAGCTTACTACTTACTGTTGGTAAAACAGAGCTTGACTTTCAAAATTACACAGTTATTCATTGGTAATTAAAATTGGATCAGAGTGGTTTGGATATTTTTTCCAGTGATAAATGAAATACTTTGGTTATCTTTGTCTGATACTTTGCTGATCTGAAACATTTAGTGTGACCACAAAGCAGAAATTAACAAATAAAAAGAAGGCAGCAATTATTCCCCCACAGCACTGTATTTATTTAGTTTTGTTTATGCCGGTGCGTTGCTGTCATATTTTTGATGCCTCTCAGTGTAACAGCTCAGGAGTGAATCTATTTTTGAGGCTCGGTACCGTGCTGTGTCATTCCTCTACTCTGCGTGTTAGGTAATCTCTATTCCAGTGTACCACTGAGTACATTTGAAAGGTGTGCAGAGGTTACGTATAGAGGTTTTTAATGAGATCTGAGGAAGATTCTGAGGAAGATCTGTTGTTTTTGGTGTATATAGTATATTTTTATCCACTTTAGTGTGATAATGCTGTGAAACCTTTACACAGTAATCCGTTTACGTGTCGACTGGCTTCTTAATTCTGTGCAGAAACATTTTTACATTTAAAGTTATGTTGTCATACGTTTTGTCCAGACCCTTGTTCATTGTCCCAGATGTCTACTCATAACAATTAATGATGATGTTTATCTTTATTGGCACTGTGATGGTTATGTTTGTGTTTGATTCAAACGTCTAAGAGGTAGTTTTGGTTCTCTGCAGTTTTAACAACCTACTCTAATATCAAGGCAAATCATCACTTGGATGGGTTTAATCCAAACTACCAGTAAATGATTGAAAAAAGTAGTTAAGTTCCTGCTGAATAAATAAGATGATAAACTAGGATGGCTTGATTTTTGGAATAAACATCACAATTAGTTAAAACACTCAATATGGTAACAGTATCTACATTTTCTGGAGTTCACATTTTTGTTCATCTGCTGTTTAGCTGTGATTAAAACTAATTAACAATGTGACCAAAAATACATTTTGCGAACATGGAAAAAAAAATCAATACAAATCTCAACAGGGAAGAAATAATCATTTTAGGGTTAATATAGACCATTATAAAGACAGACAGCACTATTTAGAGTGAGAACTATACCAAATTATATGAGGGAACATTCAGACAGTTTAACACAAATGTAGACACAACTAATTAAATGTAATTCTCCATTTAATTGGTTCATCACATGAAGAAAACAGGATGACAACATTGAAGGTGTCAAGACGTCAAAGCAGGAAGTCAATTTGCGAAAAATGTATTTCTTCAGGATTACTGATACTTGGAAATACAACAGTATGGAAAAACTGTCACTCGATGCAGCACAACAGATTGTAGGTCATATCTGAAGTAATAGTAATAGTATTTCTGATGTGCACCAAATGCTGCTGGTGTGTTTTGCCCTTTTTCTACCATCTTTACAAGAGCAATGAGCCCTCAGATGGGGTGAAAGTGAGTCATTCAGAATTAATGTGACTTAATAATTTTAACAATAATAATTTAGCAAAAATTACATTGTGATTTTAATCATTGGGTTAGGGTTAGGGTTCGGTTGGATAACAATATAAATTAATATATTTGCACAGCTCTATAATAAACATTGCATGATATGTATTGTAGCCCTTTACATGTTTTTAACATTTAGCTCAGAAAGCATCACTGTGTAGTCGAGCCTCGGTCAGATTACACCATAGAACATCTCTTTAGTCTTAGAAGAGCAAGACATTAACAAAACATTATGTTAAAATGTGCATTTTTAAGTCAAAATTTAGTGCATTAAAATGTTTGAGCACTTTGCTTTATTAGCTTGTAGTACTGAAAAATTACCCATGCCATCTTTGCTTTCACTGCTGGTCTGTTCACTAATTTTGTTTGGGGTCATGTGTCTGATGAACTTTAACTTGTGTTTCGTGATAGATCATTTAGAAGTGTGAGGAGCGGAATCTTCTACTAGGTTTGCTTACCATCTTCCTTAGACTTCTCCTGCTTTGTCAGCATCAGTTACTTAAATGTTCCAACTGCTGAGCAGCTGCTCCTGAGAGGAGTTGAGAGGTTTTAAAAAGCTCTGGCTTGTCCTAATAATGACTTTGGCCAACCCAAAACCCAAACAAACTGGAAGCTGTAGTAAATAAGAAGCAAGTGTTTTTGGAGCCTGAATCTGTGCACTTAGGATGATGTTTGTCAAGCATTAAATGACTTAGTTGTGCTTGTGCTAGAACCAGCCAATAGGGGGCTCTTTTTTTTGTTTTGCCTTCTTTCAACTTCAGTGTCTCTGTTGCTTCTGAGAATGAAACCTGAAACAAATCGGGATGTAAATTCCAGCAATAAATAGTGAAAGAAGTAAAAAAGGGAAAAAGTATCACTAGTAAGTATAAATGTGCAATAGCTGGTGATGGGTGTTCTTCACTGCTTCCTATAATGGTGGAACTGGGGCTAGATGCACCCCGGAAAAATACAGATTATGTAAGCAGGTGCATGAACAAAAACTGACTAAAACAGACATGGGGGTTAAGGTATGTAGGTGGTCAGGTTGCAGTGCCAACTAGCGAACTGTTTGTGTGTTTTTAAAGATTTGTACTGGACTTAAAGAGTCAGCGTATGCTGGATATTTTGTAGGAGCGTGGGAGTGGGAGCACCTCCAAGAGGCCCTGGAAGAGAAGCTGAAGAGTTCGCTAGCTGTGGCTACACTTATGGAACGCATACGATCCCTAATTGGCAGAGAAAGGGTGAGAAACTCCTCTTTGTCACATAAATAACAGCAAACACATGTTGTAGGCATCTTTATCTATATGCTCCCTGTCATGGGTTAATAGCCTCTTCTGGAATGTACAACAACATTTTTTGTGTTTTGTGAGCAACACTGCCTTTTTAGCAAGATCTCGATTCGAATCAGTGCAGCAATAATGTGGCAATAATTATTGTATTTACATAATTAGGGGCTCTAATCACCTCACACATTCTGCAGGAATTAGCACTGAAGACACACGGCATGCCTTTCAAAGAGCAAAAGAACAACAAAACTCTGAAAGAACTTCAGACTGGTGCTTTTGGGCTGTAGCAACACATCGGAACCATCTTATTTAAAAAGCATGAGGTGGCTCCAAATGAAAAAATAAAACATTTAGTGAGGGATCAGCAGATATGACATGGCTGTGGTCTGACAAGTCCTTTTGGCTACTGAGCCAACAGGATAGAAGTGGGTCTTGTACCTGAGGCAGTGTTGGGACGAGCTGACACACAAAGATGGAAAGGCCACTTTAACGTGATGAGACACCATAATTCCCATCACCATGTGATGTGTTCCACTGCAAACACCCCCGGGATGTCGGACCCTTTCAAACTAGTGAAATTTTACTTCCGACGATCTCTCCATGGATGTAGAGAAAATCAAAGGCTTAGGCTCTGTTGCTG